AGTGGCTCTGATCCTGCCCGGACTGCCTGCGCCAGCCTCCTGCCTGAAATCAGTATGGACACCTCGCAGACCTGGGCCCAGAGCTGATACCCAGTGGGATGTCCTTCCCAAGGCCACCAGCTGTCCCAGGATGCCACTGCTGTTAGGGCAGTGCTCTTGTTTCCACCCCCAATGGCTGCTGCGACGGCTGAGCTGAGTACCAAGCCGGGGCCAGGGGCAAGAGCTTTATTCCAGCAGTTTCTCCCTTTGCACCAGTTGCACCACCACAGCTCACGGGCACGGAAACACACGTTATTTGTAAAACAAGAAGCAGCAGAAGACTCCATCCAAACGCAGATGCCAATCTGCATCCGAGGAAAGCTGGCCACCTTTGTGGCCGAGCCCTTCCCGCGTGGCTGAGGTGCTGTGTTTCTGGAGAAAGCGAGCAGTGCCTGTCCGACAGCCATACGAAATGCACCCAGGTCCCCGCGGCCAGTCCTGCCTTTCCACTGGGATGGAGAGCTGAGAGCCGCTTGGACTGGGATTTTCAAAGCCACCAGTAGGATCTGGACCCTTAACTCTCATTAAGTTGAATACAAATTAGTGCTGATGACAACTGGCGAACCACAATTTCTTTCACCTCTCTCCTCCTCTGCCAAAGCTGTCCAGCACTCTTAGGTAAATTATGAGGTTCAGTTAATACGGATATTTTACCATTATAATTAGGAACATGCTCATTACTGGTTTATTGTTTTTCTTTTCTGGTATGTTTTCACTCTTACATCTGATAGACGCTTTCAAATTAATTTTCTTATTATTACTGTTCAACCTAGTAATGCGTATAAGGCAAAAACAATAGCCCACAACCCTACATACTTCTGATACGGAAACCACTTCTTTTCTTTTTTTTAAAAGAACCATACAGATTCTGTCAGGAAGGCGGGCACAGCCAAGCCACACATATTTCATTTAAATTGTATAAAACTACGTATCCAGCGAGGGGTGGGGGGAGAGAGTAAAAGAAAAAAATTAACAGGTCAAATCGAAAACTGTTTTTTTAAGTTAGATTATTTTCATTGCCAGCCTGCTTTTTATACCTCCTTTCAGAGCTCATAAATCTCTACAGGTGAAGATCAATGCCTTGCAAAATTCAGATAGAGAGGCATCAGCTCCACTGAAAAGACCTGCCTTCATGTAGCCTTCCGGTGGTTCAGTGCACACTATTTATCTTTCACTCCGGTAATCCACACGGTATTGCACTTCCGAGTTATAAAACCTTGAATACTCTGAAACTGCAAACCAAACTGTATGGAAGCAGTATATTAAGGCAAAGGCACCGCCAACAATTCTGAGTTCATAATATTCTCAGCCTACTGAACCACATGTTAATATGCTACACGTGCTATTCTGCATATTTTTACCATGTACACTTACAGCTATATGTTTCCTCCACTTTCCAATGCAATATATTTTAATACAAAATCAATGTGTGTTTTTGGTGGGCAGCAGAAAGGTTTTATCCACTCAGCTCTGAATCTAAGACGAAAGCGGTATTGATTTAGATGTTCACTCATTCATTTACTAGGACAGTTTTAAAGCATTAGGTGATAACCTAATTGAGAGGCACACTGCGAGGGAAACCGAGATTGTTGTGATAAATTAAATCAGTTCTGGGATGTCATCTACAATACTTTAATATCTGAAGTAACATTCTCCTGAAAAAATTAAGCCAGGAAACAAGCATCTTGGGTGGCAGAATATGGCTTTCTATAAATGCCAGGTAATACAAACTGATTAAAATATGAATAGATAAATAAATTGCATAATATAGAAACATTAATGCAACACACATTCTATATGTGTCTGTGTATGTGCTCGTATATGCATGTATTTATCAGACTGGCTTCCATTTCCTACTGCAAACTGATTAGGGACCAATTGAGGGTGTGAATTTTTTGCCACCTATTTGCTTTCTCTAAAAAACCTCGCATCACACAGCATCCGTACTTGTATTATTTATTCATATTTATTTTACAGAAGCAAATTAAGTCACACGAGTCACCAAATAGTGTTATGACTGCTACATACCAAATCATGCTTGCATTGCTCAGGTACATACTTTCATGTGCATGAGGCCAGAAGGATTTGGTCTCACATCTGGGTCTCGCATCTAGAGCAGCCTGACCTGCATTCTCTCATGTAGGCACAAAGAAAATGCTGATCCACCTGCCACAGATTTGGATGGTTGATGAATCAGGCCCAAAGTCCCTCAAACTTCTCCAGATACTGCAGCCATTAGCTGCACGCAGCTTGGATGACTCTGCCTGGTGTTCAACACATACATTCTTCGCAGAGTGGGGGGCCAGCCAAAGAGAACATATGCAGTGCTGGATGCACCAGCAGTAATAGCATTAGCAGAATCCAGGGAAATCTGAAATTCCTTCCTAATGCAGGACACAATCCAGTAAGGTACTAAGCACCCTCATTTTCCACTTTTTAAAAAAAGTCGCCAGAGCATGCAAAATCTCATGCTTTGAGCACGAAGCGAAGTGAAATGGTTAATAATAAGAACAAACATGCCTGTAATACAGATGATTCAGATTTAAAATTCATGAACTTACATGTAAGAAATAATTTTGCTCTGAATATTTCCTACATTTTTTCCACTTTGTGTTCATGCAGAGTATTGTTAATAGATTCATATTTTTCAAAGCAGTGGCTAAACGAAGAGGCTTTTTACATTACATATACACTCAAACAGAAATGAAGTATAAAAATAGAAAATAGGATATTAAAAAAACTAAGCACCCTCATTTTCCACTTTTTAAAAAAAGTCGCCAGAGCATGCAAAATCTCATGCTTTGAGCACGAAGCGAAGTGAAATGGTTAATAATAAGAACAAACATGCCTGTAATACAGATGATTCAGATTTAAAATTCATGAACTTACATGTAAGAAATAATTTTGCTCTGAATATTTCCTACATTTTTTCCACTTTGTGTTCATGCAGAGTATTGTTAATAGATTCATATTTTTCAAAGCAGTGGCTAAACGAAGAGGCTTTTTACATTACATATACACTCAAACAGAAATGAAGTATAAAGCTAGAATATAGGATATTAAAAAAACCCCTGCATTTAAAAAGAAGGTCCTGGAGCTCTGAATTATGCCTCTTACTCTTAAGAGTTAATGCATGATTTTTTCCACCTCTGGAAGAGTGGCAGAAACCCCCTGAAAAGTAAAGGGGCTGCTTGTTCACTATACTGTGTTTTGGAACTGATAGCAATTTCTGTCTGAAAGAACCGTGCCTTCATACATTAGGTTTAGGGACAAAACCTGCTTATCCAGATTAAAAAGTAATTTGTATTAATGTACAGTTTCAGCTATTAAAGCACAGAATTCTCACCATATGCACCAATAATTTAATCTTGTTCTTGAGTAGCCTCACACTTCCAGTAAAAAAAGGCAGGGGGTGGCAGGGGGAGAGTAAACTACAGAACCTTTAGTCCCCAAAACAGATGCCAGTTTTAGATTTATTCAGCCAAGGAGTATTTAGCTTGGCTCAGCTACGCTTGAGTTGAAAAAACACTCGCCTATTCCAAAAAGTTTTTAACAAGCTCTGCTGCAGATGCTGTTGCCATTTGGCATGTCACCATCACTGTGTGGTACAGCAGAGAGAGAACTCTTGACCACAGGTTTTCCTTGGCTGGGGGAGTCAGCAGTTTTGGCTATCACTCTTCTTCTGGCCAACTGGCTGCATGTTTATGGAGTGTGGTTTTAGACGGGGTGTTAACAGAGGTTGGGTTAACAGCCTAACCCAGACCAACAGGGAGGTGAAGGCATGACCTATCCAACCTAAGAAAACAGAGATAGAATAAGCTCGTATATGTTGTTGCTCTTAACCAAGTCTCTTGCATGCACCATACCTACAGACAAGAAGATATTTTTCTTTGCCTCAGGATAGATGACAACAACTTTAAAAGCTGTACCAGTCATGCAAAGTAGAAGTATATAAAAACATGTGGTTGCTTAATCTTTGTCGGCTTGATTTCATTCTCTCACTTATGACAATTTTACTTTGGCGAAATGCCACTGAAAGAAGTTCAGTGAAGTTACTCCTGTTTTCCACTATGATGAGATATCTTGAGAGGATAAAAACCCTACAGAGTTAAACTGCAAAATTCTGTCCTCGTATTTCCACTAGCCAGCAAATGGCAGTTCTAAAACTGAAAAAGGCTAAGTGCTTTTACATTGATGAACTCGGTTCCAGAGATATTAGTGCCGAATACCTCCATGAGAGTGCATATAAAGCTGGGGAAAACTTACAAATGCCCACTTGTAGTTTAGTTTACCTACATTAATCCTATACCAGTACATATGCCTGAGAAGCCTTGACCTTGTAAGACATACAACAACTTTAAAAACCAGTATGACATTTGACTCGTGTAAGTAAATAATTTTTGTCCAAATTCTGACTCTTCTTTTTGATGGCAACACCTTTGTTGCACTCAAGCAAAAGAAGTATCACAGTTTTATATACATCGTTCAGTCTGCTTTTTTAACACTGCCATTACCCTGACACACCATGCGCCTATCCGGAAAAAACAAAGACCATGTACACTCCCTCCACATCAGACACATTTTACTTCACTTTTTATTAACTGACAATTTTCTTTAAGCCAAGTTGTGGACCACAGACACCATCAGAGAACCAGCCAGACCATTTGCTTAAATTGTACTAATCTGCACCAAAAATCCTATTTAACACAGTATGGATCAGATAGCCCACCCTTCACTTCAGTTCCCTCTCACCGAGAGTTCAGCTAGGACTAGGAACATCTTGAAAGCTCATAGACTAAACTGACACAAAGGCAATTTACGGCAGCATATTAAAAAAGAGTGTAACATATGACTAAAAATGAAGTAAGCAGTGTCTGGCTACATCCCCCAGTGTGGGTAACCAGTATGCAAGAGCAACACAAGAAAATAAAATAATTTTTTTTAAAGTTTTATCTTTTTACCATTTTGGCTTCTGAATGCATTGGGGGGACTTGAGGTGAAGCACACGGATTATTGAGGTTCGGCCCCTGCATCCCCATGATGTTGGAGTTCATTGACATTTGTCGCTCCATCTTTTAAAAGAAAAAGAAAAAAAAAGGTTTGAAAACGTCTGGAGACATTTGCAAGAATTTACGCTCGGTTTCTATTTAAATGGACTCAGCTTTATTCCTTCAAGTCATGACTAGAAAAATAACAATCTGTGTCATGCATTGCATGTGTGTATGCACGCAGGCGTGTGTTTCATCAGAATCGGCCCTGAAAACTCACAGCTAATTATAAAGAAAAGGGTTCTTTACTAAACAAATGTAGCAGCCACCCAGGTTTGTGCTTTTTTGTAATGATTTTCTCCCTTTCAGTATAACAACACTCGGAGTTAAGTGGTTTTAAAAGCATCACTGTATAAAGTTGTGGCTTCTGCTGTCAGTGCAGCCCAACTTAGCTTGTTAAAAACATAAATAAAAATCTACAGTCTCGAGTATATGGAAAACAAGTTGGCTCTTTTTCCTTCACTCGGACTGCTCAGCTGAGAAGAGTTTTCCATATGTCTTGTAAGGGAAGCTTTCATGTACTGCTGAGATAGCAAAAAACAAAGCCGAACTCCTCCTGGCTATTCAGAGCCCTTTCTGCAAGCTAATCTCACTAGGCTGAGAGGGAGGGATACAATTTTCAAACAAAACCTAACAGCAGTAAGGCCTGGATAAAATAATTTCCTGGAGTGTCTTCCCCGAAAAGAGGCAAGCCCTGTTACACCGCTAGTCATTGGTAGGGGTGGTAAGTAGGGTTATGGTGCTGCTTTCAACCAGGGCTGAGCATCCTGCCTTGCTTTGGGCCACTCCCCTGAATCTTTGGCTCATACAAGAAAGAAGCTTTTGGATCCTCCTGAGCTCTTCCCAAGCAGGGGAGCTATTTTTTACGCCCTGTGGTGAGGTATTGACTCCCACCCTCCATGATCCCAGCAAGAATGGGTGCTGGGCCTGGGGGAGAGGACAATATCCCACTGCCTGCTGGCAGGGAGAAGCTGCCTCTGCCAGGGCCCCTCACCTTCTCCGTGGGGCAGGAGCAGCTCCCACTGCCATCTCCTCTGCAGCCCTTTCAGGAGGGCTGTGGGGCAGGAGCTGCAGCCGGAGCAGCCAGCACTGATAGGGTCTGTCTGGCCTCCATGCTCATGTCTCCAGGGCTCTCAGACAGAGCACACCTGCTTGTCTGCAAGCAGAGCCGCCCAAAGGGCTCCCCGGCAGCAACCCGAAGCTCCTGAGTTTACACTGAAGCAGGATGTTTGCTCCATTTCAGGTTCCTTAGTAATCATGCCAGAAAAAAACTGCCCACAGTGACATGTCTTTTTTTCTTTTGTTGAACTTCCTGGTCGATATTCCAGGAAAACTTATTGACAAGTTACTAATTAATAACTTATTAATGACTGCTCAAATAGCAGCCAAACCTGAATCTTTGTAGCCCTGTGGAATGTCCCCCTTGCTCCAGCAAAGCCAGCACAAGCAGTGCTTTCCTCCTTCCCATGGTCTATTGCTCTCAGGTTGTCTTCCAAACTGAACATCGTGGAATGAAACAGAAACTTCTCCTTTCCCAATCCCCTCTTCCCCATGCCATCCTTACTCGTGTCCACCCCTAATCTGCCCAAATGTCTTATATTGAAAGGGTTGTTAAAATTATTTAAGAATTTGAAGCTACAATTGCAACGCACCCCTTTGTCTCCCAGAAGATGGGAAATATTCCCATCTCTGCAGAAATGAGTGGAAGATGAGCAGCGATCATGACCAAATTCTAATTAAGTGCAAGTTACCAGGCCGGAAAAGTAAGTCACATTTCTTTCTTGTTAGCTGATTATCTCCCACAAACAAGAAGATTACTTAGAGTTCACTGGCATAACTTATGTGCATGGCTTTTCCAGTTTTATCTGACTTCAGAAAAATCTTTTTGTTCCAGCACAGACATACTGATCTCACCTACATGACCAAGTGTGAGAACCAGAAATTGTAGTCTCATGTAAACCGTTTCTAATCACTCTCACACTAATTAACATGCCATTAACTGCACCAGAAATACTCTTGTGTAAGATGCAGCAGTGAAAAAGGTCCAGCTTCCTTAACTCACTACACTTTGATTTTTTAGAAAACCCAGCAGACTTTCACCTCTGCATAGGTTGAATCAAGCAAAAAACCAACCTTCCTCCCCCCCAAAAAACCCAAACCAAAAAACTTACAGGCATGAGTACAGCAGAAGATCCAGGCATGGTAGGGTTGGGCAGGGTGCCAGGCATAGAGGCAGGCATAGGCTGTCTTTGTCGGTTGTGTAGGTGCAGTAGTGAAGACAGAGAACCTGGGACAGGCCTAGGAGAAAAGGAAAGAAAGCTGTCATGGGCTATGGAGACCAAAACAAGCCTTAATGTGCCAGCCATTGCTAGGCACAGGCGACTCTAGACAAGCAGATGCAGATAAGCCAATCCAGCATTTGTCCTCTCCTGCATAAATCAGCAGAACGGAAAGTTTTCAAGAAACACGTGACTCACTTTCCCTCTACTGTTTATCGGTTAAACCACCAGTAAAGTTCATCTCATAGAACATGAATGTAAATGTAACAGCCGGTCTCAGACTATGCAACTCTGCACCTTACAGTGGCCAGCAAAAGACTTCTACAGACAAAGCAGGAAAATTTCCTGGCATGACACATCAGTGCATTGCTGTAAATTCAGCCCTGGCGAACAAAAATATCTGGGTGATAGTTTTGCAGACTATGACAGAAAATTAAACACTCAAATTAATTTTGAAACTTTATCACCTGTAAATAAACTACTCTAGTATTTCATCTTGCTCTTGATATTCTCTCCTGTGAAACTCTAACAAGCCTTTGTTCCGAAGCAAGGTTCCTGATTTTACCAGTTAGCATGTCACCAGGGCACAGAAAATGGAAAAAAAGAAAGAAAATTAGCAAAATTACATTCAGATTAAGTAGCTTGTAAAGGCAAAAAGTACGGACTATAAAAAAGCAGAGTAATTTATTTTGGCAAAAGGAGTTCAAAAGATTTAGAATGATTTTTCTAAGTACAGCACAGGGAAAAGAGTGCATGTGAGAAAGCAGGCCCACTCACAAAGAAGAAGAATCATAAAATTAATAGATTAAACAAAGCTGGGACTACTCTTTGAAAGCAGCCTTTAAGAATGTGGTTTTGGGAGTTAGTTAAATTAATCAGCTTTTTTTTTTTTTTTTTTTTAGTTTTGAAGAAGGTATGAGTTGCTTGAAGTTTGGGGTAAACATAACTTGTTACCTTTTCAAAAAGCATGAAAATAAGCAAGCTTTCACATACAGTGCCTCAACAAACATTGCTAGTACAAGTTAGTATGTTCAGTTCTCACAGAGCAGGATGCTCTGCAGTATAGTACACAGTTTACACTGTTGATTAGGCAGGAGAGATACCCCTAAAGGTATGAGAAGGACTGGAGAGAAGGGGGCATAGTCCAGGAGCTTGAAGAGCCTCTGCAGGGGTGGGGGTGGGGAGCATGGAAAGAGTCTAAAGATGTTTGGAGCCTCTGAACATCAGGGTTGATTTTCAGCCTTGGCAGAAGCATCCTTTGCTTCAGTGATGAATCCACAGCTAGCCACGAAAGCCTCAAAATCAGGCTGGACTGGTCAGGGAAGCAGAGTCATAACCTCAGAGCTGCGAGGGGAAGACAGTCACTTCTCCCACTTGGTCTGAACCATGTCACACCAAATGATGGGCCTTTACTTCTTGCCCCTCCAATTGTAAGTGATACTGGCAATCATGAATACATACACCCCTCCTCTAAGTTTAGCTGCCACTTCCATTTATCTAACAACAAGCAAAGAGGCCAAAGGCTGTGAGCAATGGGATTCACAGACATCCCGTATGGAGGACACCACATCCGGGCTCCCAAAGCGAGGTGCCTGTCTCATGGCAACACGAGCTTCTTCTGACCTACAAGTCTCATCCTCTTCTGCCCAGAGCTCAAATGACCTAATCCCCTCTTCCTTAAAACTCCCCAGTACTTCCCATCCTTGGACTTTCAGTCCTTCAACCCTCCTCTCCTCAGGCCCGTTCCCCCCAGAAACATTTCTGTCCCAACAAATGCCACCTCAAAGTCCTTGCCCTGCCCACTCCCTCATACCCAGACACCCCTGCTCCTCCCACCCCTCTGCCCTCAGCTGCCCTCTCTTTAGCAGCTGCACATGACTGAACCCATCCTTTTGTCTTGGTTCTCTGTGGAGAGAAAAAGCCTGTGTTTTGAAGGATGTTTTAAAAATCCTCCCAGACACATACAGTACTTATTCAGAAGGGGGGGGGGGGGGGGAACAAAAACAAATAAATAT